AATAATATTATCTAATTGCGACAATTTATCGAACTGTAACATCAAATAAAAATATATTGAAACAAAACATGCGAAGAAAATCAATTAAATGCAACACTAACACAAGAATATTTCGAAACGAAACATCGCCGCAAACGTTTTTCAAAGTGAATCATGGAACACAAATTTTATTGAAATGTAACACGCGGTGTTTCACTTTGAAAAATTCTCTGCCGATGTTACACTTTAAAAAAAATCATTCGTTTTTGTATCATTCATATATATTCCCAGAATATGTCTTGTTTTCTATCTCACCCGTTCAAATGATTATGCTTGCCCAATACTTAAAATTCGGCTATTTGCGAATTTCACCATATAGGGTAAGGTGGGGCTATTCTCGCCACTTTTTTTCACAATTTTATATTTCCATGAAAATTGAAAAAAAATCAGGAATGTTTGGTATCATTTTGTAGCTTGTCTTTTTACCTAACTTTTATAGAAGAAATGTTTTTGGTTTGATCCCCTTTGGGATCCGATATAGCCCTTGGGGCGGAATCCAAAAATGGTGGGGCTATTCGCACCACCACATGGGGTAATTCGCGCCGTCCGCATTTTCAGTGTTTTAAATGTGTTTATCATCAGAAAAAGTGTTAGTGTTAGATTAGTACATCCTTCGCTGATGTTGTGTCAAAATTTCATGGGATTTGGACCGCTAGAAGCGAAGTTATTACGCCTAAAGTGACACTACCTTTTTTCATCGGTCGACAGGCGAATTTTGGCCCAAAATTCGAAAAAATGACTTTGCGCCGATTTTTATTTATCTAAGTAGTAGTCCACGCATTATCAAACCCGTGGTACCGTTGGAAAGGTAATTGATGGTGCTACAAAAATACTCAGTCAAACACCCCTTCCGACCCCATTGAGGTCCCCAAAAACACGCCGTGTTTGTGGCGCGAATAGCCCCACAGCATGTATTACTGTTTGAAGCTCGATTCAGCCACAAAAATTTAAAATATTCAAAACAAATTCATATCCATAAGAAAGAGCTGGTGATACGCTACAAAATACATCAACTCGTTTTAAAAAAATATTAAATTTTAATGGTCAAAGCTGAAATTCTGTGAGCTCAAAAAATGAACTCAGTACTAGCACAAAACACATTTATGCTTGTAGCTGTCTGTACTTGGCTGAGAAATGTTCGGTTGTGCAACCAAATATGCAGTTTTTTACGCTCTTTCAAATGATACTAGAACTTTTTGTATATATATTGCCGTTTTCGATAAAAGGCCGAAATAGCCCCACGGGGCGAATAGCCCCACCTTACCCTAAACCAATGTTATTTCACCGGCGTTCCGACGTTTTCATAGAAACATCCCATGTAGACGGTCGCAACACAGCCAGAAATCGAAAAAAAAGTTGAACACATTTTTTTGGATTCTAATATAGTTTTTTGTGTGCAAAATCCATTGGTGTTATCGGCACATCGAAATCACTTTAATAAATGAATGAATGAAATCAAACTGAAAAATGCAGCATGAACAGAACAATCGAAAATATATAACAAAGAAGCAATATGCGAAAGAACGTAACGTGGAAAAGTAGATTCTTAAAAACGCAACATGAATTTGCGCGACACTGAAGCGTGTCATGAAAATACTTTAGCAACCGCAGCTCATGTAATATTCATGTCGACTGGAGATTCATGTTGCGTTTTTACGAAATAATTTTTCATGTTCGGTTCTTGATATAACAGATATGTATTCCCATTTTTATGCTCATCGACACATTTGTTTGGAAGCTACCCTTATTTTTGTTCCGATCCACCTGAAACTTTCGGAGATTTCATTTTTCAGTGAAATAATACACTGTAAGATTCTGAAAGTTTCATGGTGATCGCAGTATCATAAGTAAGTTTTTTGGTTGCATGGTTTTGTGGAATCCCTGTGGACCCAGAATCCAAACTTTGAGGGCGATGAGGCACGGGTAAACGTTATCCGATCGTGACAAAAATTTACAGGGCTCATTTTTATGGTCAATCTCCTATGAAAATGAATTTGACATGTGAAATTCGAAAATTATCCGAAAAAAACCACCCCATTATACTGTAGTAACGAAAAAATGTACGGTTCAACACATGTAGGTCAGATTTTAGTTGCTGGAGACTCTCCAGTGGAGATAAAGGTGTCAATAGGACAGATTTTGTCCGTCCGTTCCTTTGTGATTTTTTTTGGACGGACAATTTCATTCTGTCCGTCCGTTTGGGATTTAAGGACGAACAATTTCATTTTTTTGTCCGTTCATGGATTTAGGACGGACGGACAAAATATACATATGTCCGTTTGACTCCTTTATGATATTTTGTATAAAACAATATCAGAAATGAATTCTCCGTCGAAAATTAAGTGAAAATAGCTTATCAGATGACGATCAAAATGCTAAACGGACGAACAAAATTAAACTGTTCCTAAACGGACAGGACAAAACCAAATTGTCCGTCCTTAGATCCTAAACGGACGGACGGACATGGAAAACCTGTCCGCTGTCCGTCCTTTTGCCACCTTTAAGTGGAGAGCCGATATTAACCGCATACTTCGTTTTGGTAAGTTGGTGGATTCAGTGGAAACAAAATGTTTTTCAAATTTTTTATCAGTGATGTTGAAAAAAATGGTCGAAAATGGCCTCTTACGATGTTTTTGTCTTCAACAACTACCATTTTTTTCGTCGAAAATATGGGTGACTGAACACTTGAACAGCAGTTTTCCTACAAATTTGGTCTAAAATCGACATTTCTTCATAAAACTATCGATCGATTGAAAGATTGATACAAAATCGCATAGAAACCCCCCGTACAATGGCCTACATCTACCCAGTTTTTGACGAAAAATCGTTTCAAAGCTGCACTTGTTACGGTTTTATATGATATTAGTGTCAAAAAATACGATTGTTTCAAAACAAATGAGCGATTGACGCCCATGAGCTTCGGTTCCATGGCTAAATCACCGAATAGAGCCAACAATTTCTGCCTTTGCTACCTTTGAACTCCTACTATGATCCCTCATGAACATTTTGAGTACTGACCAAGTCGAGTGATGTTTTCACATATTTCTAGCCTCATATTCGGTTGATTCGATTTCAACTCTCAAATATACGACTTTTCGTCGAAAAATCCTCAAATACACACTTTTTAGAGTTGGTATTTTGGTGGAAAGTTATTTTTTCTCGAAAATAAGGGGAGTCCCCTCTGTCAAAAACTCGAAAAAACGATTTTTTGAGGTGCCTCCCGAACAAAAATGATAATTTACCAGGAAAAACGTATGTTTTGTTCGAGAATTACCTCAAAGGTTATTTTCGAGAAATATGTGAAAACATCACTCGACTTGTTCATGTATGTAGATTTTGTATCAATCTTTCAATGGTTCGATAATTTTATAAAAAAATATCAATTGAACCCGTGAGCATAAAAACAACGTATTGACTCTTCGCCGATGAATACGAAACGCAAAAAAATCGCCGAACAAAGTGAAACACCAATCTGTTATTGGATCAATATGAAGCATGAAATCGTTGGCTACTATTTTATTCACGTTGCGCTTTGTTTCGATGCGCGGCAAGTGTTTCATTTTGTTCGAGTAACAGAACGTTGTATCACTTTGTTCGGCGACGCGCTCAATGTACTGTTTTGGAAAAATATGCATGATTTGATACAGTTTTGAGTCCATTGGTATGATGATTCATTTTAACACAACACCCATTCTATTTCGCTTACACTTACGTGCACTTTAACGTTGCTGAAACATGTACGTTCTTGTTTCTTTACTGCGCACATTTTTTTAACAGTAAAGCAGACTACTTTGTTATACGGGTAAAAATTGCACGTAAGTGTGAGCGAAATAGAATGGGTGTTTTGCGTCCGTGTTTTGGCCATGTATAGATTTCACTATATAAACCAATGTATTCACAGCGGCGTGAACCCGCGTTCCGAGGATTTCATACAAACTTCCCATGTAGACGATCCGAAATAGGCAACAGTCGAAAAAAAAAGTTTAAATTGTTTTCGATTTTCATATAGTATTTTTTTCTGCTCTATTGGTATTATCGGCACATCGAAATTCGCACTCCTTATCAGTTAATTTTCACTTCATAGACAAATCACGACCAAAACCACCATTAAAATGAATCATCATACCAATGGACTCAAAATTGTATCAAACATTTTTGTTTCAATTAAAGTGAAACACAATTTCTATAGTCAGCCGATATTTCACGATTCACTTTCAAGCGAACAGAATTTATGTTGCACTCGCACAAAACTGTATCAAATCATGCATATTTTTTTAAAACAGTACATTGAGCGCGTCGCCGAACAAAGTGATACAACGTTCTGTTACTGGAACAAAATGAAACACTTGCCGCGCTTCGAAACAAAGCGCAACGTAAATAAAATAGTGGCCAACGATTTCATGTTTCATATTGATCCAATAACAGATTGGTGTTTCACTTTGTTCGGCGATTTTTTTGCGTTTCGTATTCATCGGCGAAGAGTCAATACGTTGTTTTTATGCTCACGGGTTCAATTCTCGATCAAATTTGTCGAAGACAAAAACGTCATAAGAGGCTATTTTCGACCATTTTTTTTCAACATAACTGATGAACAGTTATTAAAGGGTCGTTCTTGATATCAATCCATTAACTTACCAAAACGAAATAATTACATTCGTCTCCTACTAAAATCTGAAATTCATGTGTAGAATCGTTCATTTCAAAAGCTGTAAATGTTACTACAGTGTTATATATGTCATGTAATAAACATGAATGCAGGGTGTAACAGAATTGCGTGCAAATATTTAAACTACATATTTTTCCGCCGGCCAAAACGTTGTCTTAGAGGCCGAGTTCGGAAAAGTGGTTCTCGCATTTTGGAAAGGTCCTGACGTCAGAAATACGTAGTTAAAATTAATGTACGCAATTCTGTTACACCCTGTAATTAAAAAATTATTTCATTTATTTTTATTTCATTTTACCATCAAAAATGAATTCAAGTTCATGCGACGTAATACTGTATTTTCCATTTGAGAAACTCGTAAGAATATTCGTAGCAACTCCTTATCTTTTTCCAGATTAGCAAGCAGTAAGCTCGCAGCAGCCTGTTGTATACAATAGGTTTCAAATGCTGTAAGCATTGGTGTGGTCTCCAGGATGATCTTTTTCAATTGAAGAATTGAAGGTTTTATATTCCTATTTATTATTTTATTTTTCATTATTTCATATTACCTTTCCTATGTCAACAGAGAAGAGATCATCATCACACTCCTTGATAGCTGTGTCAAGCGCATCTCTTATTTTTGCACATAATACTTCACTGTTTTCAAGTAGTTCTTCGATGTTCAAAAATATTGCGGATAGTTGCTCCTGTGAAAGTAGGCCGGCTACCAACATTGGGCGATAAAACTCATCAATTATGATCTGTAAGTCTCGAGTATACTTCTTTTCGGTTTCGATGAATTCCCACAGAATTTCGCGACGTTCAGCACGTTTCTTGCAACAACTTCGGCATATAATTGGCGTATAAATATCTGCCCCATCGAGTATTTGAATTGGATCATCTATGAAATGAAAATATTTGATTCATGATATTTATGTTATAAAGTGAAATAGTGAATATCACTTTGATTGTCCTTTGAGTTTGCAATATATTCCTCCCCCTTGGGGCTTACAACGCCCGAAAAGTATTTTTTATGAAAACTGGATTGTGATAAGAGATAACGATTTGGTATCTTCAGCAAAGTTGTAGGAGACCTTCAGTACTACAACTTCGCCGAAGACACCAAGTCGCTATCTCCTATCACGGTCCAGTTTCCATGAAAAAATACACTTGGGGAGCTGTAGGCCCCATGGGACAGGCAACGCACATGTGTGCTTCAGAGGCAATATCTTACACATGCTTACACATAAACGTATATGAAATTGTGTGTAGCTAAAGGATCAAGCTATCGAATGGCACCAATTTCAATGTGTTTGTTTGGTTTTTGTTAGTTTTATTTGTATTTCAAAACCGCCTCCAGCGTTGTACGCCCCAGGGACAGACAAAGTGATATGAATATAAAAGGCTAATGTGGATTTTGGGATAAAATTTAAAGGGCCAGCATATCCGCTAGGTATCATTTCAGTCGGTTGATGTTGAACGAAAAATCAAGTTCGAAGTGCTACCAGCGCCATAAACAAAACCGTTATGAATCTGATTTTTTTTTCGATACAAAATAATCTAAAAATATCTTCTATTAAAAAAAGTTAGAATCAAATTGCAGATTCTATTTCTCAACGCACAGTTTATAAAAATATTTTATTTGCATCAATCAAATTCAGAAAAACTACAATCCATTTCAAATGATTTCCATTTGGAATGTGAAACGACAACGCAGTTGTCACTTGTAAATATGGCGACTGGAGTGTATATGTATATCCGTTGACTTACGTAAGATGGCGCTGTTGATTGCGAACTTTCGAACTTCAAATGGAAATCATTTGCAGTGGAATAATTATAGTTTTTCTAAGTTTACTGATGCAAATAAAATATTTTTAATAAACTGTGAGTTCAGAAATGGAATTTACAATTTTATTCTAACTTTTTTTTCATTAGAAGATGTTTACGGATTATTTTGTATTGAAAAAAAAGTCAGACTCACAACGGTTTTGTTTGTGGCGATGGTAGCGATTCAAGCGTCATATGATAGCCTTTTAAAATTTATACCAAATGTCTTAATTCAATTCGCCTTTACTGAATAAAAAAAACACTTACCACAGTCTTCACACAAAAAAACCTTTTTATTTTCTAAAACACTAGGTTGGTACTTTGTTCGTGAAGTTTTGCTTGTTTCAGATCCCACTCCAGAATCGTTTCGTTCGATACTCGCTATACATTTGTCATTGCCATATGCTCTTAGTTCATTCATATTTTGCGGGATGTCTCGTATTATATTTAAAGCTTTCCCATTATGTTCAGGTACCTTTTCTAGAGATATTACATCATCATCTGTGGAACGACGGCAAAACTTGAACGGAACTTCTTCTGCAACAAAGATCCGATTTTTCGCATCAACTAAATACGATAATATATCGTGTTTTGTAGCTCCTAAAAACATTGGTTTATAGTATTTATCTAGAGAACTATTGGAAATCGGCGGTGGATTTGTTGGTAAAGGTGGAGGTTTTTCGTTAATTTCTTCGTAGATTGGATCACAATTTATAGATTCGTATTGATGATTTTGTGAGTCAGATGCTGACGATTGGCCGTTTTTCCATAATGATGCATCGACGAGCATTTCGTGGAGCTTCTGGGCAGAATACAATTTCTTAATATTTATGTTACTAAATAATTCCTTTTGTTGAAAGTCGTCGGAATTTGACACATGTAGGTCATTCAACTTGAATACTGTATTTGTTGCATCGTACTTAGAGCGTTCTTCTTTGATTATATCATGTAAAGATGATATGAATTGTTTATCTGTGTCTTTGGTAGATCTAGCGCTGAAATTGTATTTGCCTATGCGCAGCCGAACCAACGAATTCTCTATAATATTTGCAATAGTCTTTGCCTCCAGGCCATAGAACATATGACTCAAGTAAGGGTCGCTTAAAAGTTTCAGTATAAAACTATCTGCAAAAGGTCTTGGTGCACTCATACTGCCATTTGATTGTTCACCAGACCCACTTTTTGTCGTAAATTCAGTCGATTCATTTTCTTCTGAAAATACTCCATCACTTTGTGTACTGTGTGCATAGTCCAAGCAAATTAACATTTTCGTTTTTTCTATATTCGTTGAAACGATTTCGAGTATATCGATGTTCTTTGAAGTCGCACTGTCTTTATCATGACAAACAATCGCCATTTCCGTTGTTGAAGTTTGAGAAATATTTTCCAAGTTATTCTGCTTTTCTTCGACATCTTTTTGACTGTCTTTGTCATCAATTTGGTGTAAGTTATTTTTTATCAATACAGACGAATGATGATTTTTGACATGTTCGTTTACGTTCACAGTTGATGAACATGCTTCATTGTTTATTGTTATTGAAGTTTTTTGAATTGTTGAGTTCAATGGATCATTTGTTTCCTTGATTATTGGATGAATTTGGATTTTGTTCTTATTGATCGTTGACACAGGCAATAAACCAAAAATTCGTGAAGCTTTGGCTTCATCAACCTTGGAAATTGATGAAACATGTTTCGTTGATTTTCCTGGAAGTTTTACAGTGTTATAAAGGTGAGGAATCGAATCACAATATAAAACAATAAAGTAACTTTACTACTTTGCTGACGGGGTGGACGTTGTGGTGCAGTTTTATTGTGACAAAAAATTGGCAATTTTGGTGGGGGGCATGTTGGTCGTGCAATTTCGGTGGGATATGATGATCCATTTGGTTTCTGAAAAAGTTGTTGCGGACTTGCTCTCTTCGATTTTGTTCTTAATGCAGTCGTATCTTTGAAGTTAGGAGCTTCGTTCGAGTCCTTATCACGTCGATCACTCATTGAGCGCATTACAGGTTTTCTTCTTTGACTGCTATTTAAACCTAGAATAATTTTGTAAACAACCAAATTAAACGGTTTCGATAAGAGTCGGTGTACGTAAATATATTTAATCACTTGCCGGCTTCTAAATTCATATGACCTTTGGCTGAACTTACGGGAACTTCTTCTTCAAATATTTTATCATTATACGGGACATTCGAGTTGTTTTGCTTACCAAAATCACTCAAAATATAGTTGCTGTTATTTTCTTTCGATCGCGGTAGTTCAGGTAAAGTATTAAATTGCACTCTTTTGGAGCGCCCTACTGTTAAAGTTGTTACATCATCGACGCGTACTGATTTTGTTTCCTTGATTATCTTCTTAAGGCCATTTTGCATCATATTCACTTTTAAAGAAGATTTCATGAAGTTTGACTTTTCACCAGGAAATTCTGTTTCAAGCAATTTACTAGTATCCCAATTTTTCAGTATCTTATTCGGAATCGATTTAACTGACAACGGTAAAGATTCCAATGTTGGAGGAGGGGGCGGTTGCAAACAAGAAGATTTTGGCTTTATTATTTCAATTTCAGTTGGTCGATTAGAAGTCGAAACGTCCAAAATATTGAATCGACCAATCTCATTTATTGTCGTTCCCCTTGTATCGTTTGCAGATAGTTCATTTCTTCGCATAAGATCATACATACTCGCAGATGGTGAAAATTCATTATTATGTAATGTGGACGAAATCAACTCGTATGGATTAAGAATTGAACGATTGTAGTAAAATTCTGATGGTATTATTGGAGAAAATGAATCGGAATTTCGAGTTGATTTATTCCCAAATGGTCGAGTTGGTTTAATTAACAGCATATCATTCGGAACGTTTGGAATTTGGTTGCATTGTTGTTGTGACTCCTGAAATAATAATCGTTTTTCAAAAAATTATCCCGTTTTCGTCATTCTTAAAACGCAAAGCGTGTTATGAGCTGGAATCAGCATTGCAAACTGACGTCAGCTGCTGAGTTGGAAGTGAATCTTGTGGAGCAGGTTGACATCAACTGACCCAATTAGCTCTGGAAGCAGAAATGTTTAGCATGTATCCCTTTAGGTTGCTAAATGCCATTATTTCTTCAACATTTCTTATGGATTAGCATCATGATAAAATGGGATATTCTGGAGTTGAATACGTGGATCCAACCTGGTCCGATGTGTTCTGGAAGCAAAGTCATCCAGTCATCCAGTCATCCCTATGGGAATTCTGAATCGCAATATTTTTGTTAGATTCCACTCAGAACAGCCTCAAATTTAACTTTGCAAATCTCGAAGGAAATATGAATTTTGTACTGTAGATGCGTTACAATAACCCAAGGCATGCGAGTCTAACCTGAGCTCAGTAGATGACGCTAGTTAGTGCTGTTGATTTCAGCTCATAACACGCTCTGTTCAAACGAAAATGTTGCGTTATTATTGATGAAAAAACAACTATGAAACTATACTGAAAATTATGAAAACTATGTTCTATTTAGTTTATTGTATGCCTGCCTAAAGATGCAATTACTCACAACTATAACACATTTCTCTTATTCAACATAATTGATATATCAGTGTATACACTAAAGTCGCTGAGATCGTTTTCATCGCATTTTAAGCAAGAAAAATGGTTTTCCCTCGATTTTCTGAATGCAAATTTTCCGAAAAATTAGTTTTCTTAATTTTATTTTTCCGAAAAATCAACTTTATGAAAGTAAACTTTCTACAAAATCTTTTTAAGAAAAAAGCAACGACTTTTTTTACCGGTAGCGGAGTGGTGCAATGCACCAGAGCGCAAACGATTTGAGGTGCTCGAGCGCCATATGATTTTTTTTCAGGTATTTTAAATTCAAATCGAATGAGAGAAGTAAGGGCGCGAGATTTCATTGTCTCTACATGACAGCGCTTCTGGCGCACAAGCGATTCGGCGCGCTTGTTCGATTTGAATTCTGAATTACTAAAAAACAGTTCCGTGTTTGTGTTTTCCCCAACATGAAATCCGAAAAGAAAGATATATTGTAATAAGCCAATGAAAAATAGCATTCAAGAATAGAAAACTCATGTCTGGCTCATGGTTGTTGAATGTCATTCAATGCCACTAAGCTGTCGACATCTCTCTCCGGCTATACGGCAAATAACAGAACCAACACTGAACATGAAAATGACATGTTCAATAGTGTTTGGGTCACTTTTGTCGTTTCTTGTTGTTATTTTACATGTAAAATCAATGGTATTGAACGAGGATAGTCTGGCTGCCCCACTGTTTCAGTTAAGGGCGCTAAAAAATTTTTGCACCAGGGCGCGAGCGCAGCAAAAAGAGTCACTGGAAACAAGACCAAATACTTTCATCGGAAAAGGAAAAAAGTCATTAAACCGATTAATTTCTTATTCATTTTTTCATTTACATATTCATAGAAATGTACATTGGCTCTTGGTTTACCATGGCCAAAACGCATGCACCAGAGATGTGCACGCTCAAAATCCTCAGATGAGGATCAAATCTGAAAATGGAAGATGGGTCTCGAAACACTTTTGGAAAAAGTGAAGATCTCAAAAATGGTCCTCACTTTTGAAAACCTATTCTATCTAGTTTAAACTGAGTTTTGCGGCCAATTGGGGGTCTAAAGAACGAGGCGTGAATTCTTGCAGATTTTTATACCAGTGTGCTTTCAAGCAGTAGTGGAGAAGTTACTTACTCAAATACACTGTACTTCAGTACTATTGATTGGTAAATAATCATGGCGGCTCCATATTATTGCAAAAAGCACAAATGGTATAAAGCCTTCACACGTTCTTTGAAAATTTCCCCTCAGAAAAAAAACACGTGTAGGAAATCGAATTTTGAAAACTCATTCTATCTCGTGTGAAGCGTTTTAGAAAAATTGAAAAAAATGAAGACTAAAAAAAGGTCCTCTCCTTTCCAGATGGGGAGTCTTGAATTTAATTTTTTTTTATGATTGTTTTAGCGCATATTGAACGGACTCTATATTTTGTGTATGTATTGGAATTCCATTCGATTTCAGATAATTTTGAACAAACTCGATCAAGTTGGCCGGTTTAGTCAGTCGAACATAGTAGCTATGATTCTATTCTCTAGTGATTCAAATTCGAACCATAGTACGTAGAAAGTATAGTAAAAATGTTCAAAAATAGTTAACTGTATTTAAAATAATTAAAATGCCTAGAAAGTTTACTAGAAAATTGCTGTTGACAAATATCCGAGAACAATCAAAACTATTGTTTTAAGGTGTGAAAAATGTGTCTAATTTCGAAAGAAAATAATTAATTCTGTCAAATTTTGTTTTCCGCGTAATTTCTTGTTGATAACTAATGAACCGCTTGAAGTAGACTAAAAGTGTAAGAGACACGCTTACGGATAAAAATGTAGTTGTAAACATTGTGATATGACGTATCATTTACAGTATGTAGCCTTTTTTCTATTGCCCATCTAACGGAGGAAATCTAGAGAGTTAAATGTCCCTTAAATTGTATGGAGAAATATGACTAAATGTCAAAAATCTAGTGATATTGAGAAAATTTGCAACAGTGTTCAGGTCACAAATCTATTAGTGAGACGTAAAAGAACGCAAGTTGGTCCAACTTCGTAGCAATAAAGAGAAGTATGTTTCATTGCAACTAATAATGGTTAAAAGAATGTATGTTCGTTTTTAGCGGGAAAAGCGCGAAAAATGATAAGGAAAAAAAGTTTTATATAAAATTTGCTTTTTTATGTGAGCGATTTGCGCGCAACTGATAAGAGATAAGAGATAGATGTCTTCAGCAATGTTATAGAAGACTTCGAGTATTACAACTTTGTCGAAGACACCAAGTTGTTATCTCTTATCAGTTGAACGGAAACCGTGAAAAATCGCGGAGGCTCGACGGGATGCCAACATACTTCCTTTTAACGCAGATAGAATCAACAGAAAACATACTTTCCTTTTCAAAAATATAAATCGACAAAAAACATACATTCTTTTACGTCTCACGAATAGAAATGCATGTCTATATTTTTGAATAAATTAAAGTATAATAGACATTTTGGCGGTGACATACAATGTATTTGTTCGCACTAAAGACAGCTAGTACGTGAACGAAGTTAGACAGCAGTTAATGCGAGAGGGACAAAATCTGACACCGCCAATACTTTGCAAAAATCTCAGCCGTTCTTTCAAATTTATTATAAACAAAGGGTGAATATAATGCATACCGGGCAACGCAGCCAACTTCACGTTGGTTACTACTGAAACCCATTGACGTATGCTTGTGATTGAAAAAGAAACAAAATAATGTTAATCCAAATGGAAAATAGTTCCAAAAAAATTGGAAAAAATATTTCCTGAAAGAGTACCTTTTCTACTTATATTTAGCCAAATTTAAAAGAAATCGTAGGTCTTGTTTCGCTACAGTAGTGTTCTAAAATGTATTCCTTTCAATAACTTCATACTTCCATTCTGATAAAACAGCAAAGTTTTGTAGCGAAACAAAACCGACGATTTTTTTTTTTAATTTGGCTAAATATAAGCAGAAAAGGTACTCTTTTAAGAAATATGTTTTCTAATTTTTTCTTGAAACTACTTTTCGTTACTTTTTTTTTGTTTATTTTTCAATCAGAAGCATACGTCAATCGCAACGTAAAGTGGCACAAGCTCGTACCATTTTTCGCATACACACGCGTATGAACGCGGCGATTGAATGCAGAAAATGGGACATGCTTGTGCCACTTTGCGTTACGATTGATTGTAGTTGACCGGGCAACCGCTTTGACGTGGCGCTCACAACAATGTTGCCCCATTTATTTTGATTATAAATAATATGTCGGATTATTCATTATTAGTCATTATTTGAAAAATATATTACCATGCATAGGAGTCGTGATTGGCGTAAAAAGTTGTATGGGTCATTTTCTCTACACAAAAGTCTTGGCCTTTGACGCTCATATGATAATGCTGAAGGCAATCGAACTGTTCCAAAACAATTTCTCGTTACTGCCGAATCTAATACATACGGAGTTGACAACATTCGTACAGTGCCTCCAATCGGTGCAAATGGTAATTTAATTCCTTTGCATTGCTTGCATGTGGTTTTCTTTGTCGGTTTCGCTGTTCCGCGCAAGTAGTCAGGGCAGGAGCAAAGAAAATGAATTTTATCGGGCATTATCATACTATAAATATATTCCTTTGTACGAATATGTGTTCATTTCACTCTATTTCATCTGAAAAAAAAAACAATATATAAATCGTAAATTATCGATAGTAAATGTTTCAATCAGAGAGTGCATATGTGCTGCTGAGCAGATCTGAGCTGAGCTGAATTTACCTGAAGCGGTATTCAAACGCACTTACGTACACAAAATAACGAACTGTTCCAGTGTAGGATATACAATACACTCAGAAAACCTGAACCGGGCTCAATAACCACAGTTGAAGCTGTCACTGAAT